TTTTTTATGACTGAAGGCCAGTATCAATGATACCAATACTGATTTCTCTATAAAATTGCCCCCTTATATTTAACCATTGACTATAGCCATTCAACATTACAGTATAATTGAGAGCTATCAATTTTAACATTTATTAGACTTTCAAAAATAACTTCTAATTTAAGTGAATGTAAAACAATCTTCACATAAACCCATTATAATAAATGTCATAATTACCTGTGCCCTTCAGCAGAAATATACAGAAATTGAAATTGAAGTTATCAAACACTAAATTCTAAATTAAATATTGATGAATCCTTAAAGCTATAAAATAAAAGTTCTTTTTTCCGTTTATTTCGCGCTTTGATATGAAAGGATACAGGCTACAGCGTGTGCCGGCACCTTTGTGTGTGCAATTGAAGAGCACGCACTGCGAGCACAGTACCGTTTCCGCGCTCGTTTGACTCGCGCCAGGCGCTGAAGTGAAGTGGAGCGCGTCTCCCGTTCTCAGTCGCTCTGCGACTGAATAAATGCACTTCTTGTCAAGAGAAAAAGTGACCGAAGCAGCAGTTGTGAGTGGGGTGGCCAAACCTAGCCTCGCCCCTGCGTTAATTGCGTTAAATATTTTTAACGCGCTAAACTGAAAAAATTAATCACCTGCGTTAACGCGCTAATTTTGACACCACTAATAAATATAAATATATACATGTAAATACATGTAAATATTTTCAAAATATATACTGTATGAGTATGTATTTATATATACATAATAAATATACACAGTACACACACATATATTATGTAAACAAAAACTTTTATTTTCAATGCGATTAATCGTTTGACAGCACTAGTTTTTAGATTAATATTACTTGATACCTCAATAACTCAGTCATGAAAGTTGCTAACAAGTTGCTTGAAGTCACAAGAAACGAAAGTAGCGATATTTTCTTTCATATTTTGATGTATGAGTGTAACTGATTATCGAAAAAGAAAACATATGGATAGGACATATAGGACTTAAATACTGTAGGCAGGGACTTGGATATATGCATTGGTTGTTGATTGGATTTTGCACTCAAACTGAAGGCAGATGAATCACCAGAGAGAAGTCTGTCATGAAAGATCTTTCAATGAATAGAGCTGAGATAAACCATGAGATTTATTCATGAGATGAGGTTAAAAAGGTTAAAAATCTTAAATGAAGACTGCAACTATCACAAGGATGTGTTTACATGCTTGATGAGTCAACCATTAAAGTCCTTATATAGCAACATTTAAAAAACCAACAACAGTGACTTCAAAATTCATGTTTGAGGTTTGACAGTCTGTAATTTATTTTGTAGGGCATAAGGTGGAATTTTTTTCAAGTAATATTCGTGACAGACATTATATTACTCGTAAATCCAAACCTGCTATTCTAAAAGCAAATAAAAAAGTTCTTGAGGGAAGCCATCACAAAGGGTTGGCTCTACATGACAAATGGGAACAGCTCTATTCAATGAAGTTTCTGGCTCAATATCAGAAACATGATTTGACACTTGCACTGAATCTGTTGCAGTAGATTTTAATAATCAGTTTTAATAGTTCAACAGTCACCATTGTGTTCCTCCTTTCAAAGGCACATTGTTTCTTTGAATAGTTAGCAATGGAAACCTTATGTATTGTGTTTGCTTCTGAGTTTTTTTTTTTTTTTCAGTCTTGTTTTGAGACAGATGTCTGAAAGAAAATTGAACTGAGCCGCTGCTGAGTTTAACAAAGCATCAGTCACAATCATGTAAATTGTTTTCACTGAGGAAAGCATTCAGAATAAAGTGCTTTTCAGTCATTGTGTGATTTGTGTTTGCTTTGCAAATCACAATGAGTCTGAAATGAACTTAAAATTGCCATTGTAAACACAGTATCAAACTTAAAAATAATCATTTTGGATTGAAGCCATAGCCATGTGGGCAAGTGCTCTGACATATGGTGAGGTTGCTTTTTTGGGCAACTTGAGTTTTAGTCCTGGCTTGAGGTGCTTTCCCGGTCAAATTGCCCTCTTCCATGATTTTCTGTCTGTCCTTCTACTATCTAAAATTAAGGCAAAAATGTTAAAATTAAGGGGCAAATGAAGTACATATATGTTTCCCATGATGTAAATATCTATATTTTAAGTTGAGATGTCATTTAACTTAGCTGGGACTGAAATCTCATCCAAAAACATGTCAGGTCGTGTCCCTGACAAAATCCACCAAATAATAATTTCATATAGCTATGAAGTCATGTCATTCGTATTCGCAATGCACTGCTGTTGTTAAAGCCACTGAGAGTCAGTACTCTTGTAGGAATTTCTTGTCCAGACATGATCTGCAAATAAAAAAAATGATTCTGAAAACAACTCCCAAGGAAACAAGCAACGTTCACGGTCACTATGACAACTTGCACAGAACTATAATAGCAGGGGAATCCTGGGAAGAAGAACAGAGCTCTGTTTCTGGTGTCATTTTCACAGGTCTGCTGGGTAGCAGCTCTGTTCTATAAAAGTAATGAATCCTCAGCCTGGAAAGAGTTACTCACGAGAAAATTACTGCATTAGCATGAGGTGTTGACTATGTGGACTTCATAATGATATGACTGATGTCTCATTTTGTTGAATGTGATGTTTTGTTTGTTTCTCAATGCAGTATGTCCCAAAAATGGTTTATTTCAAGCAAGAATTCAAGAATGTGTCTGTTCCTTTCTAGCTGACTACTGTGAGAGTATAATGTGATGCCATATCTTATGATCATTATCATCTTTAGTGTGTGGAGACCATCTCATCCCGGCAGACAGACATGCAGAGGTTTATTGCAGAAGGATGTAAGGAAGCTCTGCTAGAAGAGAAAAGGAGGTTCTGCTTCCTAGTGGAGAAACACTGTGCCTTCACCTATCAGCTAACAGCCTTCCATGACAAGGTGACCCACTGAAAATATTCAGCTTTCTGATTTAATAAATATTTAACTCACTGGTGTTTCAGTTAATGTTGTTAGACGTGGCAGCAAAAAGTAATCAGAAGTAATGGTACAATACTGTTGAAAAGTCTGGAGTTGATAAGATTTTTTATTTTATTTGAAAGAAGTCTCTTATGCTCAGCATTGCTGCATTTATTTGATCAGAAATACGGTAAGAATTGTAATATTGAAAGTATTATTACAATGAAAAATAACTGTTTTAATGTATAACATTTTAATATATTTAAAATGTTTGGAAAAATTTAAAATATAATTCATTCCAGTGATGGCAGTGCTGAATTCTCAGCAGCCATTACCCAGGTTTTTAGTGTCATATGATCCTTCAGAAATGATTCTGTTATGTTGATTTGGTGCTCCAGAAATATTTCAGATTATTATCAATGAAAACATTTGTGCTGTTTAATATTTTTGTGGAACCATGATACATTATTTTGATGGGAAGTTCAAAAGAAATCTTTTGTAATATTACTTTTACTGTAACTTTTGATCAATTTAATGCATCCTTACTGAATAAAAGTATTCATTTGTTTCCAAAAAAAATAATACTGATCTTTTGAATGGTAGTGTACCTTGTTTTGCCTTTCTTCTTTTGAACAGTTTTTGCATTTTCCCCCACAGGCCAAGGAGATGCTGACCGTCACACTGCCCAGCTGGCAAGATAAGTGTACCGATGCCTCCAGAGTGCCAGACACAGTGATAACCATGATTGAGGGTCTGCAGACTCCAATGTCAGTCATACCAGAGTACTCGCCTACATTGGAGCACAGTGACAGGGTTAGTCTCACACAGAAGAGAATGTACCACCATTAACATATGAGTATGTGTAAATGCTACTTTTTAGTTTGATAGCCACATAAAATTCAGTTGTTTAAGTAGAACACCAACTGATTGAGTTTTGTTCAAAACGGCACACTGACTTAAGGTCTCTGCGTTGTCAAATTTTTTTTTCTCCTCAGACCAATTCCGGTTCAATTGTTCCGCCACCGGCCCCATCACTCAAAGCCCACACAAGCCCACTGGCCAGCATGTTCTCCCAGGACGTTCCTAAAAGCCCCATCTCATCAGAGCTGTACTCAGGCAAGCTGACGGCTGCTTACACTTTGATCTAATCAGACTTCATTTCTTCTGCTCTCAACAATCAAGCGTACTAGTCTTTGTGTTGATGAGGCACTCCTTGAAATGTTGCTGTGATTACTAATCTAGCTGATTACTGCCACAAAATATATTTCGTTAATATCACGTAAATTGCACTTTGCAATCTACAGATCAAGACAGCCTAGACGGAAACGGCTTGTCTAGGTCTGAGTCTGTGTCTAGCGGTATGGATATGGCGAAGAAGACCAGGGTGCAAACTATCTTCCCCCACACAGCAGGGAATAACGAGACCCTGCTGGGCTTTGAAGATGGAGACATCATTACACTGCTTATTCAAGAGGAGAGGGATGGATGGCTGTATGGAGAACTAGAACATACTGGACAGTAAGTGAACCATTATATAGGACTGCTTATTTTTCCATCCTTAAAGAGATAGTTTGCTCAAAAATGAAAGATATTGCTATATTACTCACCCTCATGACGTTCCAAACCTGTATGACTTACTTTTTTCTGTGGAACATAAAAAAAAAAAAAGATATATATATATATAT